TGTGTGTGTGTGTGTGTGTGTGTGTGTGTGTGTGAGAGAGAGAGAGAAAAGAGAGAGAAAGAAAGAGAGAGAGTGAAAGAAAAAGGGGATGGAGGGAGGAAGGGGGAGGGGGGGAGAGAAAGAGAAAGAGAAAGAGAAAGAGAAAGAGAGAGAGAGAGAGAGAGAGAGAGAGAGAGAGAGAGAGAGAGAGAGAGAGAGAGAGAGAGAGAGAGAGACATAGATAGATAGATAGAGAGAGTATTTGTATATGTATATATGTATGTGTGTGTGTGTGTGTGTGTGTGTGTGTGTGTGTGTGTGTGTGTGTGTGTGTATGTGTGTGTGTGTGTGTATGTGTGTGTGTGTGTGTGTGTGTGTGTGTGTGTGTGTGTGTGTGTGTGTGTGTGTGTGTGTGTGTGTGTGTGTGTGTGTGTGTGTGTGTGTGTGTGTTTGCACGTGTAATTTTTGCTATACTTTGCAATCAATGCCTTTAATCTCATAATTAGATTTTTACTTTACTGGAAACCATAGAGAGTCAAGAGCAATTCTAAAATAAAGCCTGAAGTTGGAACTGTCTAGGTCTGGATGGGTGCCTCAACTTCAAGAGGTTACGAGGTAGTATGAGGCCAAAAAAATGTGAGCGTCTACTTGAAAAAAAAGAAGGCAAGTTGGTTATGCATACAACCATAAATATTTGATACACAGGGCATTTTGGCTCTTAATCTGAGGGTTTTTTTCTCTTTTTTATAGTTGAACCTGTGTGGGGGAAACATACAGTTTCTACAGATAATACAGAAAAAATGGTCATAGAAGGCACGTCTTACAGCAGCACAGGAGAAGACTGAATTGTTCCACATAGATTTTCAGTTTTAAAGGCCGAGTGTTATATCAGAGTACCAGCGGCCACTATGGGTTGTTTCTCCCGTGGACTCAGGTTTCCAAATTTTGATCTGTTTGTGGACTTCCTCCTCCTGAACTAACATAGTGCTGGGGCCTACACATACCCAAAGTGACTACAAGTACCCTGAGTATAAATGCTCTCTGGAAAATGAACACAGTTTAAAACAATTAACAACTAAACAAGCCCGTGCCACAATAACTGGCCTGTGGTATGTGAGGGGGGGGAGGGGATGGTGCAGATTTTTACACTAGTTTAATGGAGGAGTGCTTGTAGTGGCAGACTAGCAACTCTGAACCTTAGCACAAGTGACAGCAAGGGACATTATTCCTCTTTACAAGAATGGAAAATAAGCCTTACTGCTGCATGCTGTCAATAAAATGAATATGTGAAAGGACACAACTCATTAAAATTAACCTTCTGTGATAATTTCTAATCTGTATTTATTTTTTCCAAGGAGGTTTAATATTGCATCATTCATCTTAACAATTTGGTCCTTCGTGTCAGAATGTCCTAATCTCTCAATCCAGCTCACCCTGTCATTTTTGTCTAACATGTCTGGGTCATTATCTAAACAGAACAACATGTCTATGTGGTGATTTTTGACAATATGGCCCAAAATATTATGTCAGTTAATTCACACTGTCTTCAACAAATGTTCCCCTTCAAATGTAAGATTGACATTTTATCTTTAAAATATATGCAAAGAGCACTTTCCAACAAATTCACAAGAACAAAGGGGCCATCTTCAGTGTGACCTCTTAGTCAAATTTTACTGTACATGACCATTTTGAACACAGTGGCATTGCTAAACATTGGACTAACCCTCAGAAAAAGTTTTACTATCTGTATTGCATCAAAGATCTTTGTGGCCATCCATGCCATGAGTAAATTCCATGTTAAAAGTATAACTGACAGGACAGCTTAACTCTGCAGTGATTCTGTGCAATATCTAACGTCTACATGATCCAACTCTTCCTCATGCACACAGCCCAATCAGGTTACAGTGTACTACCTCCCAACATGTGGGGGGCAGCACTGGCAACAAAGTACAAATTATGTTCCACACACAACACTTTGCCTCCCAACCATCAACTGGTACAGTACAGCAGCTTCCAGCACATCTTGACTAGCAATCTCTACCAGACAATGTGCAGCAAAATGCAGCACAATAGGAACAGCAGCCTTAACTGCACATCGTTTATTTGCCCCTAGCATACCATCAGTAGCAGCATCTAGCGTACCTTTAGCAAACCATGAGCAGTAGACTGCAGCATTCCATGTACAGCAGTCTGTGGGACATGACAGCAGCCTTGAACTCTCTACCAGCAAACCATGTGACACAACCATATTTGCAGTGATAACCACAGTCTACAGCATGCCATGTAACACACTGCTAGCTGACCATGTAATAGACTGAATTACTAGCATACTGTATATTCCGTGGAATGGAAACTACAGCAACCATAAGCTGCAAAGTACAGTATGACAAACAGACTATACTGGTGCTCATCATATACAATAGCCTGGTTGAGATTAACTCACCATCAGCTACAGACTACAAGAAACAAAACAGAGCATCTTAACAGATACTGCAAATCCAGTTTTATGAAGTTTAAAAGCTTGTAGCATTACAAGAGTTTTACATTCAACTGTGATTAGACTATAATGAAGTCAGTAGATTGAGTCATGAAAGTCTTCCGCCAGACCATTATATGGACTGCAGACTGAATGATGATGTGGTTCAGTATATGGAATCATGATGCAGTTTAAGGCCTTTCAAATCCTCAAAAGATTAATATTATAAGAACAATGAGTAGAATAATTTGTTACATAAAAGGTAACATGCCTATAATAGGCACAGTTAATCTTCTTAAATATTTCTTATCAAACTGCATCATGCCCTGAACTACAGATTGAGTGACGTGGTCAAAGGTTAATACTGTTTTGTGAATACTAGGGATTATGCAAATTACTGTAAACTACGCAAATGACATATATAACAAACTACGAACTTGTCAGGTGAAGTACATTTAGTATCAGTCTGACATATTTAAACAGTTAACAATAGAGAGTTGCAGTATGATAGCTCAACTGATTGCAGTATACTGATATAATAGCGCAGCATGTTGACACAGCAGACTGAAGGGTATGAACACAGGAGAATGCCTGGTAGAGTCTATGCTATATATCAAGAGAATATGAGCTGGTTTCATGCATGCGCAATTTGCATAGAGAGTATGGCAGCCTCGCTAGGCTTCAAGCTCAAATCTGCCTTCATATTCATCATAAAGTAGCCATATTCAATCAAGTAACAGTATTACCACTGATACAACTACTGCACCACTGCTAAAATAGTATGCATTAATGGTAACTTAAGATGCATTACTAAACCAAAGAAATAAACTGCTTTAAGGGCATACTTTTTACCGTGTGTTAGTAATTTGCACTGCAGTTATATACATGAAAACCTAATCTTTGCTTTAGTATTCAAATGACAGATTGCAACAAGATGATCTATATTTAGGTGAAATGTCTAGCCATTAAGTTTGAAGCTAAGTTGTTGTGACATAAAAGTAAATTGATATCATATTAACACACAAAATGTACATATGCTCATGTACACTTATTTTCAAACAGACAATGAACCTAGACACACACACACACACACACACACACACACACACACACACACACACACACACACACACACACACACACACACACACGCACGCACACACGCACACACACAAAAAATCACAAACACACATTAAATGCTGTTTGATTGCAGGCAACAAAGTCACAACAACTTTTTGAAATATACAAATTGTTTGTCTCCTCTTCAAGTCAACACATTTTAGCTGCAAGGAAAATGAAAAGATGTTAAAAAGCACTTCCCTGCTGAAAGTAACAAGCAAAGACAGCTATCAAATAGTCGGACTGAATGGCCTATCTGTAGCATGTATGTATTGTAAATGATCCTCAGGCTCTTTCACAAAAGCTCTAATACTACCTTAAGATTCACCAATTAGTCATCATTTCGGACTTCTTGGGACAACTCTGGATACCTACGCCCTATATGTCCACCTATTGCAAACTCAGATCTGTAGATAATGTGTAGAACAACTTGCTGGCATCCTACCGTCACACTCCTTTTTGTCCTCCTTTTCCTCCAGGTCTAGGTCTTCAGCGTGGGTGATCCACTCCAAGTAACCTCTTAAGTCCTCCTCAATCTGCTGCTTCTCCCGAAGCTTTCTGAAGTCTCCTCGGGCTTTGGCTTTTTCTCTTTCCTTTGTGAACTCTCTAGCGAGGACATGATTGTCTAGGTTAGTGCTAACTGCCAGCTACACTAACAACTCAAAGTTAACACACACTCATCCAGCTCCTACACTCTACAATGACAACAAAGACACTCAAGCAAGTTGAGGCTACGGATCAAGGAACAGTCTTCGATAACGTGAATTACCATCTATCTGAATAGTTGCTTTTGGTGTTTGTATTGCCATTGTGTAGCCTAGAACACTCTACTAATTGAGACCTTTACTACGGTGAAGAGCGACATTAGTGCTGTGAAGGATATAAGAGGGAGAGTGATGTAGTACTCCAACTTCACCTTTCACCCAGGCTCTGAAACAGAACAGTAATATCTACACTACTTAGTATTAGTGAGAGCTATGTTAGCCGGGCTCCAAAGGTTGAATGATTCTCTCCCTACCATCGGCTTCCTTCTTCTCATCCCCTTCCATCTCTATGTCTTCTGCTGCTGTTATCCATTCTAGATAACCTCTCAGATCCTCCTCGATCTGCTGCTTTTTTCTTAGTTTCATGAAGTCTCCTCGTGCCTGTGCTTTTTCTCTTTCTTTGGAGAATTCTCTGTTAGGAAGCCAAATAGGCATTAATATGACAAAGGCGATGACATGGACATTCTAGCCCATGTTGATAAGATTTAATCCCATTGTTCTTTAAAAATTGAATGTAAAGAGAAAAATGTTATATCTAAGCATGTCAGAACTTGGCAAATTTAAAATTAGTACAAACTTTACATGATTATTTTTAGAAATCTATCAACCATATTTCATTCTTACAAGTCACTACAAACAACAAAAATGTACAATAAACTAAC